AGATTGTTACAGCTCCAACAACAATTTGGATTTATATTGCACACTTCCTGCAGGAAAGCGTCTCAGAGTTATGAAATGTGTTCATACAATTATGAAGGGGATTGATAGAGTAACTAGGGAGACATTACTTCTACTGATTGGTAGGTCAGTGTCTTGAGGGCATCAATTTACCAACTTCAACAACAACTTGCATTTATATAGCGCTTTTCATCAGGGCAGTATCTCGGAGTGCTTTATGATAGCAAAGCAGCAAAGAAGGAGATCAGAAGGTTTGTTTGCAGAGATGTGAGAATGTGGAATGCCTTGCCAGTGTGGTGGTCAAGGCAGGATCCATATTCGCTTTCAATAACAACAAGATTACATTTGTATAGCGCCTTTCACATCGGGAGGATATCCCAAGATGCTGGACAGTGTGTAGCATTTTAGACCTGAGCTGGGGTCAGGGGGGGAGAAGGGAGGGGAGGGGAAGGGGGGTGACCAATGGCATGGTCGAAGAGGAGGGTTTTAAGGCAGGACTTGAAGGAGGCTAAGGAGGGGGAGAGGTGGAGTGATTGGGGGATGGAATTCCAGAGATTGTGGGCAGAGTGGCTAAAGGCTCTTCCACCAATGGTGGGGCGGGTGGGTTGGGGCTTTCAAGAAGGAATGAGATAGATATCTAAAGTGGAATAGCCTGTAGGGGCAAAGGGATAAGACAGGTAAATGGGACACAACGGATTGTTCTTTTCAAGAGCCAGCATCGACGAGATGTGCTAATTGGCCTTTATTCTGTGCTATAAATTACTATGGCTCTATAGAATCTATGGTTCAATATTTCAAAAAAGCATCTACTAATGTAAAGATATTCCCACTGCTTGGGTAACACATTGCCCTTTCATTTCTGGAAATTCTGTTTGAATCTAATCCAGACAGATGGAATGAAAATGCCTTCTCTCAGCAGGCCTTGTGGAGCTTATGTTAAATGAGTTCAGCAAGTTCAAGTCAGTTCCTAGTAGGTATAGGTCACAGCAAAACTTGCCTCAATTTGGCAATCTCACTCAGAGAGAACCCACGGAACAACAAAATGACACTAATACAGTAAAAGATGCATGTGGAGATTGTGGATATGATGTGATCTTGGAGGCAGACTTACAGAGCTGTATTCTGGACTGACTGTGCTTTACCTAGCCCGAATGTTCCCATTAAGCACATGTCCTCACAGAATCAAAGATTCTCAAAGTTTATGTATGTGTGATCTCGGTTGGAAATTCCTAATGTGCACAAGTTATTCACTGCCTCTCCAGCATAGGCTACATTTCCTTTGAGTACAATCTGATTTTGTACGTAGTTTAAATTTGCGCAATCTTTAACTATCAAAGCATGGCTATTTCATCCAGATTTCTTTGGTTTGGCTTTTATTTGCTTTCATCAGTGCCTACGCCTGTGGCTTCTTTTAAGTTGCACGATGCATTCAGTGGTTTTTTTTGTGTAAAAGCATAACATTCTTGCGGCTAATTAGGGCATTATTTCTGGCTCCATTGTTCGTATATATCAGTGCACGAACATGGCATTCAGAGCAAAAAGGCTTATTTTTAAAGTGTCTCTTCATGATTTGCTAGCAGAGTCGGCTTTAAACTGATAACATGTAGCCGGGAGGGAGGGGGGAAGAGGCAATAAAAGACGTAATAAAAAGTAAAAAATATCACACTGCACTTGTTCTCAAAATGAGGAAAGTGGGAAATACATTGGAAATTAAGCATATGTAAGATGCAGATACAAAATGGATTTGAAGAGACTTTGTAACATGACTGACTGAGCACCCGTTTCCCCACACAAAGAAAATTGAGAAATAAGGTCTGCAACAGCAGGAACACTTCTTTAGACCATGCAGATATTTCAGTTTTTGTAGCACAAATTGTAATTATCATCGCCAAAGAAAGCACCTAAAATTGAAGCACTGAAAGCCCTAGTCCTGCTTGCTAATGATCTTTTCTCTTCAGCTCCACAGCCCTGATTTGTTTATTGCATAATTCACAAATTCAGGAAATGTTCTAAAAATATTGAGCCAGAAATAAGTATGGAACGAGATACGGTAATTTGAACATCCAGCCCACTCCTTCTACAGATTGGGCAAAAACTACTTTCACCCTTCACTCTAGCTTCAGGAGGAAGTTTCAATGTAGATGCTGTCCCATCCTCATATACCTCTATTTAATTAGAGAAGCAACGCCTTTTCTTTTAATTACCAGAACTCTTGTAATAAATGTGCCAGCATCCCATTTGTCTTATTGCTTTTTGTATATATGAACTAGATTTTGACGATCCTTGCTCTTGAACCTCTAGATCTCTCTGTTCATCTTCCCCTCCATGTGTTTTCCTATTTACTACGTACTCCCAACTCTTCCATCCAAATTGATTTATCTTCCACTTTACAGTGTTAAACTCCACTTTGCTTAAGCGCCTTGGGATGTCCTCCTGACCTGAAAGGTGCAATACAAGTGTTAATTTGTATAGTATTGTTTGTCTTTTTGCAGTTTTCATCTGTCCTTGTCACATTTTCCGATACCTCCTGCTTCAGCACTCATTCACAAACTTAGAAATATTACCCTCTATTTCTTGTAGATTGTTAATTTTGAATCCAAGGAATTCTGTTTTGGGCTGATCCAGGCAAACCCTAAAATTAATATTCTACCTTTAAATGAGTTACATCTGTTATGTTTGTGAGATGCCACAATAAGACAACTGCAAAATGCCGACAGCTTTGGTTAATCCTGAGGGTCTTAGTCCTTGCCTTGACCTGCTGTAAGTGAATAATTAATGTAATCTTTCAACTGCAGGTGTACAGTGCAATGACTTAACTTCTGCTAGTCTAAGTGGAAATAAAATTTTAATGAAGAGCAACTAGGGCTCAAAACACTTAACCAAATGCTCGGGGTGGAGGGTATTGGGGGTGGGGTTGGGGGGAAAAGAATAGAAATGGGCACGATTTGCATGAAGATTCAACATATATCTGTGCCCATGGACATATGTGGCTGGGGAGGAGATCCAGGCATGATTGAGCTTAAGTGAAGTCCTATTTGGAAACTGATGTAGGGATGCAGCCCTAGTCTTATTGTAAAAGTAGATATCGTTTGAGTCTGTGGCTCAGAGGAATAGCATTACGATGCCTATTTACATAGCTACGTTATGAATCAGGAGGTAAATTGAACATTTCTAGCCAAGTCTTTTGCAGTGCCAGATTTGACAATGCTCAGACCTGAGACCTGCTCTTTCAATGTCACATGCATCTTGGCAGTCGGTAGGAGCGGGGACAGAGGAGGAATGTGTCAGCGAACAATGAAAGTTTGTGGATGGATGAATGTTCTGGAGGATCTGATAATTTTCCCCTGGAGTTTGAGTGCATGGAGCGAGGTCCAGGCAGGATTGGGTACATTTTTCAGGGTCTGTGGAAGGAACACATTTGACATGTTGAGTGGCCTTCTTCCATGCATCCTTTTGTTCTTATGGATTCATGTCTAGTTCACACTGTGCTTTTTATACAGAATTGGTGCAAAAAGCACAATATAAATCAACATCAATGTAGGATATGGAAGCAATTTGGGCTGAAGGTTTACTGCTAAGTCCCCTATGGTGAGGACAGCACTTTATGATGTTGTGAAATAATTGCAGACTGCATGAATTGATTCAGCCTACACACCAAAAATAGTCAATAGTTCCAGCCATTTAATGGACAACCCAAGAACTTCCATGGGATCANTTTTTAATGTTATCGAATAGCTGGTCATGCAACTGACTGTTAAATAAGATTGAAAACTAACCACCAGTTAGCAGAGCTCCACACATTCTCTCAGCTGTTTATAGGCAAAGTACTTTTCAACCTCCAAACAATTTAATTCACAGTTCTTCTGCGCATGCGTCGATGGATCAAGACTATGTTTCCCGCAATTTAAGGCAGTCAGTAAGTGCGGGAATAATGGAGGATAGGTGAGTGGTGTTACGAGGTAGGAGGTGATTATTATGAGTAGTGCAAATAAATCTAAGTAGTTTTGATCGGAAACTGAATGGGACTCAGTGGAAAGTATGATTTAGGTGATTATCCGATTTAAAAGACAGGACATATAAGACAGATCACTTCCAGTAAGATAAATTTGGGAATCAGATGTAATGGATTGTGATACAAATGATTTGAACAATATTGCTTTTATAATCAGTAAATCTTGATATAACCATAACATTTCTCAACTACTGCTTATATAGATAAGAGTTAACAGGATTAAATTCTATTAAAATAACTGAGAGAATCAGGATCCTTGGTACTAGATTTACAATTTGGAACGACTATTACTTTTGATGCTGCACTGAACTTTAGCACTGCATTGTTTGGGACTGATCGGATGAACTGCAATGTTCTTTTCCAGCTCAGTATGTTCCTATTGATCTAATATTGAATCAAATGAAAAATCAAGTCAATGTTTATATGGTGTTCCTCAGGTCACACCGAAGTCTGGCATGAGAACTGAGAAAGTCAGAGCGATGCACTGGGGTGTCAGGGCAGAGTGGATGAAGGGAGTTATATTCCCTTTGATTAAGGATAAAATCTGTCAAGAATAATGAAAATAGAACTACATCTGAACCTGTTCTGAGGCTCCTCTTATATGATTGTTTCACTTCTTATAAGCATTCAGGAAGTGATGTTAGGGGCAACTTGATCACCCAGAAGGCTGCCATTCTTAGCTCAGAGGAAGTTGGCCACGTGCAGTAAGAGCAGAAGCATTGATTGACGTAACTTCCCATCATAAAGCAATGTTGGAATTTTACAGACTGACTATCACCCTTAACCGGTTTGATATTCTCAGCTATGCAACTGCTTTCTGCAATTCCAGAGTTCGTTCTTCTGATCCATTAACATACGCATTAAATACAAATGACAGCAAAAATTCTGCTCAACGTTTAATTGCAGGTAAATATCGCAGTTGTTTTAGCATTAAATCAGTAAATAGCCTGTAACAAGATTTACCATTTACCTTACACCTGCGAAAGTGGTAGACCACTAGCATTGCGATGAAGTCCATCAGCATGCAGAAGGCTTGGAACATGATGATAGTTGTGCGAAGGTACTTGTCCGCCTCAGCGTAGCAGGGGCTATCGTCTTCACACAAGGTGCACCCTTTCCTGCAGGGCATGCACTCGTAAATGCTACCATGCTTGCCTTGTACAGTGACATCTTCTTCATCGTCCCCTAAAACACACCCCATTACAAATATTTAGCCTCAGTCTTAATGGTCATTCTGGTCTGTGTGCTCATTGCATTTGCGAGAGGAAATAATAATAGTAATAATAATCCTTGCATTTGATATAGTGCCTTATCACGTCTTGGAGACGTCTCAAAGCGCTTCACAGAATATACTGTAAAGCGAATTAACTTAATTTTGTGGGCAAAACACGGCAGCCAATTACGCACAGTTGTGGATTGAAGTGACCAATTTTTTTTCAAAGATTACCCCGGAAAAGCAATCCGGCAATCGACTAACCGGGTTTCTACTTATTGTGAGGTAAACAGAGGCGTGTGGAGTAAGGAAACTTGCCCAACATTTCGCCTTGCCAGGAATCGAACCCAGGTCTCTCGTTTGCGAGGCCAGTGCTGTAACCACTGAGCTACAGGACTCCATGATAAGTGTTATTCTTACATAGAATTACATAAAGTGATATTGCACGGAAACAGGCCATTCGATCCAACTAGTTGTTCTAGTGTTTATAATCCACATGAGCATCCACCCCTCCTATTCCTTCATCTATTCTCCTCTACTTCCTTCTCCCTTATGTAGGCATCAAGTTTTCTCCTAAACACTTTGATGTTATTTACCTTAACCACAGCTTCTGATAGTGAGTTCTACATTCACACTCTGTGCATAAAATAGTTCCTCCTAAACTCTCCATTAGATCCACTGGTTTACTGGCTATCTTATATTTACACACCTTCTAGTTTTAGACTCACTAACAGATTATTAACATCCATTTTATCATATCCTTTGAGAATCATAAACACTCTTATCAGGTCCCCTCTCAATCTTCTCAACTCTAAAAAAAAAGCTGCAACCCTTCTTATTTCTCTCGATAGCTATGTCCATTCATCCCTTCCAATCAGAAAATTCTGAGATGTTTTGTGAACTAATAAATACCTCTATTGCAATTTTAAATTGCTCTGGATATTTCTCACCCTGTACTATATGCATATGACAGAATGTACATTACTAGGCTGTGGGAAAGCTTATTTTTAATTCATTATATAAATCAAATGTGCTTAAAGCATTTTTGCACATTCCCCAGGCAAATTAAAGTTGCAAAGTACGAGAAATAACACTCCTTAGATGATTCTGTAAGACTAGATTCTAAGCCCGTGGGAATTAAGTGTACGTCCCCGACAAGATTTTAAGAAAGGGATGTTACATTATTAATTGAACTATTTCTTTTCAAGCAAGCACTTACCATCAAGGCCTTTCGGAGAGACACCAGTGGGACGGTAGAATCCAGTCTTGCAAAGACAGTTGTAGCTTCCCAGTATAAATCCTTGGCCTTTTGGTGAGAAGCACTGTAAAGGGGGATTAAAAACACGGAGTGACTTCAAGTAACCTAAATTTAACTGAACACCTAACATTTGGAACCCCTCCGCCTCGCACCCCCCGCCAACACTCCCTCTTTAAAACCCACTTTAAAACTAATCTCTTTGACCACACGTATGGTTATCTCCCCATTAAGAGGGAATCTGGGCTTAAATCCTGGTTTAGTGTAGTGGCCCTAGGCTATTCAAACCTGGTCAGTTTGGCTCAGGAACACATGGACCATCATGGAGACCAATAAACCAACCATGCATGGACATTTGCATGTTAAAAAAGCAACCCACTTATTTTAAATTTACAACAATAACTACAACTTGCATTTATATAGTGCCCTTAACCTGGGTAGCGTCTTGAAGCGCTTAACAGCAGCGGGGTTTGATGGTGAAATTTACACGTGATATGGTAGTATCCATTTTCGAGAGGAGCATCTTAAGTATGTATCAACGACACACAATACAGTTGTTATAGCTTTTGACGGCATATGCCGAGTGTGCCTCTGAAGATGTGAGCGGAGAGGTCAGAGTGGCCGGAGGAGGCCTCGAGTCACCAACAGGCAGTGACCGGCGAGGGGGACAAGGGGCCGATGTTCCAGGAGCTGAGATACCATTTCAAAATTTCCCTCCTGGACCAACAGCCCAAACCGCCCGCGAGATGTGACTTCTGCACGCTGTTTTTTCAAACCCTCCACAGGCTAAGTAAACTATTTTGTTTCTATTTCCGCTCCCCAGTTCAAACTCAGGTCGAGTATAGTTTTATTTTGATTCACCTCCTTCCCTTCCTGTCCTCTCTCACTTCTCTCCTCTCTCTCTGTTCTCTCTCTCTCAAATCCTCTCTGAATTATCTACCAGATCAGGCAACCTGGTAAATAACACTATGGCTCTCCTCCCTCTCTCTCCTCTGCAGTGTCCCCTCTAGCCTCCCACGGCCCCCCATGCCTATGGGCTGATGATGCCTCGCTGATCACGTTGGTCCCAATGTGTGGTGTCGCCCCTGACCGAAGCCACCCCCTCCCAAAATTCCTTCGCTCCTATTCCCCCCACCCTTCGTTTCTCCCTCTCAGTCCTTCTCTCCCCATCTTCTGTCTCTCTCCTGGAACCTCCTACAGCCTCTCTCTGCTCCAGCCCGGGCATCCTCCTCTGCGCTCACTTCTGCACTCAGCCACCCCGACTGCCCCATCACTCACCCTCTCCACAAGGCCTGCCTCCCCCACCTCCGACAGGTAAACCCCACTTCTCTCATCCACATCTTTGTCAACTCTCCCTCCTCATACTCAACAGTGGTCCAAACCCCACAATATACCCCCAAACACTTCTCATCACACCTCTCACCCCAACCAACGTGGCGGGGGGATGGTCCTCATCTCCCAAACCTCCCTTGGTCTATTCCCCTGTCCTCTGGCTGTATCCCCTCTTTTGAGCATCTCACCCGCTACCATCTCAACTACCTCCCTCAATCCCTCCGCCTTGCACCCTCCCGCCCCGCTTTCAAATCCCACCTAAAGACTTTCCATTTTGATCGTGCTTACGGTCACCTCCTCCCTCCCTCTCCCGCTGCATCGGGGGTCAGATCCCGCCACTTTCAAGCTCTCCAGGACGCTGCCTGGCATGAAGTACGCTATATAAATGCAAATTGTTGTTGTAACTACATTATCTACATTACAGTGTCTTACACTTTCTGCAATACTCTTCAAGTGCACTAGGGAGCTCTGGCATTAATTTCTCCACTGTGACAAAGGAAAACCTCGTCCTCTCCTAGTTTGGAGGTGGGTTAACAATCCTCAATATAAATAGATCACATTAGAACCTTATGCAACAATAATCTTCACAGGTGAGATTTAGTCCACATTTGTATCATTTGTTATGTGCAGAGTATTCTTTCAGGATTCAGATTTTTTTAAAAATGTTTACAAATGTAAACGTTTTGAAAGAAAAAATGCAAATATTAAATCAAGGACCTGTCTGCCTGTTCAGGCAGATGTTAAAGATCCCTTAATAATAATATTAATAATAATACTTGCATTTGATATAGCACCCTTATCATGTCATTCCGACATCTCAAAGCGTTTCACAGAATATACTGTAAAGGGAATTGAATATATTTTGCGGGTGAAATGCGGCAGTCAATTGCGCACAGCATGGCACTATTCGAATAGAGAAGGGAGTTTCACTCTGTGTCCTGGTCAGCTATTACTCCAATAAAATTGGTAATTCACTTCATGACTGTTTGCCGTGTGCAAATTGGCTCTGCATTCTCCAAAAATACACAGTCACTTCATTTTCCAGTATATCCTGTGAAGATCTTTGGGATGTCCTCCCAACTTGAAAAGGTACGTACTAAAATTAAGGATTATTACTATTAATAATAATAAACAGAACACATTGTACACAATCAAACATTGGTAACTTGTCAGAGTTCCCCTTTCACTGGTAATAATTTGTCTGCTGAGGTGTGAATAGTATGAATTCAAAGATTTATTTGATTGAACCATTTAATAATTACAAATAAATAACCCTTATATTTGATATGGCACCTTTCACATTGGGAGGACGTTTCAAAGATGTTCATAGGATATACTGTAAAGACTATATTTTGTAAATGAATGCAGCAGCCAATTTGCGCACAGCAATGTCCCACAAACAGCTAGGAAGTGAGTCATAATGAAGAGAACAACTTGCATTTATATAGTGCTCCTCACGCAGAGTAGCGTCCCAGAACACTTGACAGTGGCGGAGCACGATGCCGAGCTGGGATTAGGGGGAGGTGACCGGAGGCACAGTTGAATAGGAAGGTTTTCAGGCGTGACCTCAAGATGGGGAAGGAAGGGGCAAGGTTGGGGGATAGAGGAAGAGTCTTCCAGTGTTTTGGGGCATAGTGGCTGAAAGTGTGGCCACCAAGGCTGAAACAGAGGGCACGAGGGACATGCAGAAATCCGGAGCCAGTCGAGTAGTGGCAGCCATTTAAAAACAAATGTGAGAATCTTGAAATCGACCTGTTCAGTGATAGGGAGCCAGTGCAGTCTGGCTAGAACTGGTGTGATTGGGGGGTACGGAGTTTAGTGCGGGTGAGTATGCGGACGGCAGAGTTTTGGATAAGCTGGATCCTGTGCGTGGTGCTGCTGGGGAAACCGACAAAGAAGACATTTGAAAAGCCCAGTCAGGAGGCGATGAATGCTTAGACGAGTGTTTCGGCTGCATTCTGGGGTAAGGTACGGTCGGAGGCGGGCAATACAGCAGAGATGGAGGAAGGTGGTCCTGGTCAGGGGCTGGTGGTGGGGAAGGAAAGACAGCTGTTGGTCGAACCTGATGCCTAGATTCTGCACTGTATCGGTAAATCTGAGAGACAGGCCGGGGAGGTTTAGGAGGTCAGAGCCGGAACTTAGAAGATGTTGATGGGAGCCAATGAGTATGGCTTCCATCTTGTCAACATTGACTTGTAGGAAGTTAGATAATCCTTTGCTAGAAGGATCCAGAAACAAGGCGACATAGTCTTAAAATCAAAGCTAGGATGGTTAGAAGTGAAATCAGAAAACATTTGTTCTCATAGAGGTTTGTACAAGTGTGGAATTCACTGCTTTGGAAGGTTGTAGAGGGCAAACCAATTTGAATATTTAAAAGGAAGATTAGACAGACAAATGGACAGACAGACCGGAGAGAGAGAGAGAGAGGCAGACAGACAGACAAACCGGAGAGGGAGGCAGGCAGTCACACACACACACACACACATACATACATACATACATACATACTTGAGAAGTAAGGATATTAAACAGTATGAAGAAATATTAGAGGAATGGGATTAAAAGATCTGGCATCATCAGAATGTCATCCTACTGTTCCAATGTTCTTAATTTCCTAATTCATTTAACCTTGTCAAATTACTGGGTCAAGAGTACTGTTATGGTGCAGTTGATCGATGCACACAACAGCTGAAGTAATTTAAGAGCTGTTATCATAACACTGAACAATTTAATGTTGTTACTGATTTTTAATCCAACAACTTTCCATAAAAATAAGCTGTTATTTATGATCTATTTTCCTCCCACAGTATTCTCACCATGGTGAGAAGGTCCACACAGATCTCTTGACGTCTGTTCAAAGAATTTCATTGAAGGATTGTTCTATACGTTTGATTCAAGGAGATTTTTAAATGCCGAGTTGATGCACAAATGTCTGCCCTCACACAACAACAACAATTTACATTTATACAGCACTATTAATATCAGGAGGACGTCTCAAAGCACTTGACACAGACCAGCAGGTCCTGTCAGTGCATCAGAGATTGTGCAGTGGCACAGCTGACAGTCTCAGAGATCCAACAAGTCTGTGCCAGGAAGAAGTGATCCACTGGGAATAGTCTCTGTGAGTGTAATCACCACAGGAACTGCGATACCTTTGCTCAAGAGCATTGATGAATTACCCTCAGGATCAGCAGCTCATTCAAGTCCTGGCCTTTCTTTATTATAATCTGCTCCACATTTAGAAATGCAACTTTCCATCTGCCCTACTCCTACTTACATAATAATATTATAATAATCCTTGCATTTGAAATAGAGCATTATTACGTCTGCGAGATGTCTTAAAACGCTTCACAGAATATACTCTAATGTGAATTGACTGTATATTTTGTGGGCGAAAACAACAGCCAATTGCACACACCAGTGTCCCACAAACAGTTGTGCATTCAGTAACCAAATAATTATTATTATTTTTTTGAAGGGATTATTACCCTTGGAGAAGTGATCCATCAATCGACTAACAAGCAGGTTCCTACTTACTGCTAAGAAAACATAGGCGTGTGGAATAAGAAAACTTGCCTAAGGTTTTGGCAATCCTACTTAAAGGAAGCACAAGGTAGATTGGTTGGCACAGAGCCGAAAAGGAAGATCATATGATGCACTATGTAACGTGCACAATGGAAGACATTTCAACAACAACTTGCATAGCGCCCTCATGGAGGGAAGCATCCCAGAACG